ATACTAATATAGTCACCAAACACACACCAGCGCCTATATTTAACGTATTTAATATTCAACAATAGGAATACCTTGTGTCCCCTCTCTATTAAAGAACAAAAATCGGAACACCTTATCTCCTATTCCATATCAGACAACTACTGAAATATTACGTCCAATATCTCATACTTTTGTTTCAAACAAACCAGCAGATTATAATTATTTCAAAATAATTAACACACGGGTAATACATTTGTATTTCTCTTGCCATACCCAGACAGGTGGTTGGCAATACCGGCAGTAAACTGACCCGTATCGATTGGAGAACCGAAAGACCAACTGAGTGTTGATATAGAGTTCATTTGAGGTGGGATCCAAATATTTGTCTTTTCTTCTCTACCCGATTTTCCTGTTTCCATTACTCCTGCATATGTACTACCCAGTTGAAATCTTATTACTGCATATCTAAATTATACCTCATTAAATATCAACTGTATTTTGGTTCTGGCAATAAAAAGACCTCAAATTGACATGTGGATAGCTTTAAACCGGAAAAGATGCAAAACATGTAATTTAACAGCGCATGTTTATCACAATTAACATTGACACTGCAGTGCTATCCCTAAGACAGTTTCAGATGCACAATTAACAAATGAGGAAGCAACAAAATATTTTAGTAAAATTACGTGAAATTTTATTTTGACTTTCTGTGCCACAAGAATAAGCTTTAATATTAAGTGCGTGAAAAGATTATAGATGTAAAACATGAAAACGGAATGCACTATATGTTTTATGATATTATTGACTTGGATAGTAAGTTTCAGTTATCTCTAATCTTTTATTAAAATTGTTATTTTAAAACTGATTACCGCGGTGGTGGTCCGGTGGTGCAGTGGAAAGCGTACTTGCCTCTCGCCAAGGCGACCGGGGTTCGATTCCCCGATCGGACGTGAACAGATATGGGGTCACCTGCCCGCTCACGTGGGTTTCCTCCGGGTACTCCGGTTTCCCCCCACAATAAGACCTCCCGCGCTAACATCCGGGCCAGCAAGAGCGGTTATAACTTGTTTTATAATTGTTGTTAAATCAATAAAGTTTATATGCATAAATGATTCTCATAAAAAAAAAGTATTAAAATGAAATATCACTATCAATATATTACATGGGTTAATTCCGTGCATCAAATGCTGAGCTCGTCCTAGGTCTGAAAATATGGAACCTGATTTTGGCATGAAATTAGTGCGCACATTTCAAAAGTCATAAGCAATATGCTATATGATTAATAGAATATGAGCATGGTCTAGGGGTGAAATAGTTAACGTTGTGCAGGATTGAAAATAGCAAGCATAAACAAGCGAGGATGTTTAGGCATTTGAAAATAGTGAGTATGGTCTAGGAGGGAAACAAGTGAGCATGTTTAGGCAGTGAAAATAGTGAGCTTGGTCTGGGAGGGAATCAAATGAGCATGTTCATGCAGTGAAAATAGTGAGGATGGTCTAGGAGGGAAACAAGTGAGCATGTTCAGGCAGTGAAAATAGTGAGCTTGGTCTAGGAGGGAATCAAATGAGCATGTTCAGGCAGTGAAAATAGTGAGAATGGTATAGGAGGGAAACAGGCGAGCATATTCAGGCAGTGAAAATAGTGAGGATGTCCATATAGGGAAACAAACGAGCATGTTCAGGCAGTGAAAAAAGCAGGAAATGTCCTTGGAGGGCAACAAGCGAGCATGTTCAGGCAGTGAAAATAGTGAGCTTGGTCTAAGAGTGAGAATAAGGTTAGTACGCTGATATACTGACGTACGAATCGGAAGTTAGCTACACAGCAACGTATAACATGAAAACAAACAGTTTGTATTTAGCGGTGAATGTACTTATGCGATTTCGATTGAGCGGGAAAAGAGCTTATCTATTGTTTCATGACAAACAAAGAAGCAAGAATGTTCAAAGAGTCTTTTAGTTTATGATTTTAATTGTTCTACGAGTCAATTTTTTTTGGCATTTTCGCTGGTGTAGTATGATATTGAGTCAGATGTGTGACCCTGAGTATAAGAGTCAATATTGACGGTTGACACAAACATCGAACACACATACATATATAGCAAAACGTAGTTATAGATAAGGGAAGGTAGGTTTAACCCCTGATATTGTGTACGTGTGTACGTGTGTACCCGGCTTTAACCCCAGTGGCAAGTACATATTTACATCTATGATAGAAGAGCTTTTAAACCTCCACCTCGCTTTGTGTCCATGACCCGTACTGTGTCTCAATGTTTGAACGCGATCTTAACAATAGATCGTTAGTCTGTGGTAAAGCTCTGCCGACCGTTGTTGAGTAAGTTTAATGGGGTTATCCTGTTTTCACAGACATGTGGGATATTTCGTAATTTGATTCAAATGGGTAGTGCGTACAGAAATGGGCAGATAAAGTCTTAAAGGGCTGTAGAGACTCTCTTAAGCTGAAAAGCAGATTTTTGTCTTTTCCTCAACACACAATTTAAACTTTTAGTCCCGACATTCCATGAGACCTGGGATTTGTTCATGGTATTCCAGGGCTTAACCATGGCATAAACATATGTCCCACTGGAAAGTTTCAGAAAAAGTCGAGATTTCATTTACCGTGAATTTTGTAATAACTCTCAGGAGCCTCATTTGTTCTGGATTCGAGAACATCACGCAGTTTTCCTGTTTTCTCTATACTGCTAGTGTTTTGGAGTAACTCTATTTTGCTCTAAACCGTTTTTGAAAAATATACCTGCTTCGTTCCCTTGTACCTGATATTCGAAATTGGCGCTACTTAATTGCATGCTTCTATTTCATTAGAAAAGGCAGAAAATAACCTACATGAGCAGCCAATGTTTAAGGGTAATCGACCATACTATTATATTTTTATAAACCCCGGCACACGATCAATAGTGACCATAATGAGGACGAGAATGGACGCCGGTGTTTACAGACACTGGGTATTATTTCATTACGACAGATTGGCCACATATGGTCCGAAGTGTGATTAGGTTTGCACAAGCCCACAGGCTAATTACCTTATCTAATAGAACGTGTTGTATACCAAAGTCTTATAACAAAGGAAGAATAGAGAATTGCGCAACGAATAAACAAGGAAGAGCTGCTGGACAGTTGAAATAAGGAATCTCTCCCGAGGGCCGAATGGCCCGAGAGAAGGATTATTTATTTCAGCTGTCCAGCCGTTCTGATTTGTTTATGTAACAAACAAACAATCTATGGAGTAAACAAAGATAGATAAACAAATAAACTATTTTGGTGTTATACAGGTAAGGTCTAGGCCGTTAACGAATCAACTGATAGATATCATAATGGTAGTTCAACAATCCAATGGCTAATTTACATATTTATTGTGTGAATACTGGATAGAATGTGTTTAACAATGGTTTATAATAAAAGATTACGTCATAGGAGTTTCCGTCCGCAGATTAAAAAAAAAATCGCGCATCCGTTTGTATGTTAAGTGATATAAAGGTACAAATTGTATCACTGATTGCTTTAGCGTGCTCCCTAAACATTTGATTTGACTGTGGACGTAATCTTTAATAATCCGAGCCCGAATTTTAATCGGAGCGCGAATGCATTCAATTTTATGATCCCATGGGTTATAAATAATACAAAAAATAAAAAGGAATTTAATAGGTACAGTTGAAAACTTGATCATAACTTGAGTTGTCTGGGCGTACCTATAGTACCAAATATACTTGTTCTGTGGGTATTTTGTTTCGGGTTTTTAAACGCTGTTGGTAACTACAAACCAGTCTCTACTCCTTACTTATAACTCATGATTACTTCGGAAAACTGACATTCGATTCGGAAAATGAAAGAGTCTGTCATTATAGGATAATTGTCATCAATTTTGTCTTGTTTCAGAAGACGACCGAGAACGTTGCCATCATGACGGTAAGATAGGCAATTCAGAGAAGCGTGATAATTTATGGTCAAGGCATTGTTATATTGCGTATTTTACTATACGACACTGAACATTGCCTTCCCATAACCCTTAACCAATCCTACATCAGACATAGAATACCCCACAATACCACACCAAACATCGGCTACCCCACAATCCAATACCAAACACCGGCTACCCCACAATCCCACTCCAAACATCGTTAACCCCACAATACCACTCCAAACATCGCTAACCCCACAATCCCACACCAAACATCATCAATCAAACCATCCCACACCAAACATCGTCAACCCCACAATCCCACACCAAACATCATCAATCAAACCATCCCACACCAAACATCGTCAACCCCACAATCCCACACCAAACATCATCAATCAAACCATCCCACACCAAACATCGTCAACCCCACAATCCCACACCAAACATCATCAATCAAACCATCCCACACCAAACATCGTCAACCCCACAATCCGACACCAAACATCGTCAACCACACCATACCACACCAAACATTGTCAACCACAGCATACCACACCAAACACCGGCTACCCCACAATCCCACTCCAATCATCGTTAACCCCACAATCCCACACCAAACACCGGCTACCCCACAATCCTACTCCAAACATCGTTAACCCCACAGTCCCACAGCAAACATCGTCAACCCCACAATCCCACAGCAAACATCGTCAACCCCACAATCCTACACCAAACATCTCCAACCACACCATACCACACCAAACATCGTCAATTTCACCATACCACACCAACCATCGTCAACCACACCATCCCACACCAAACATCGCCAACCACACCATACCTCACCAATCATCGTCAACCACACCATACCACACCAAACATCGTCAACCACACCATACCACACCAAACATCGCCAACCACACCATACCACACCAAACATCGTTAATTTCACCATACCTCACCAATCATCGTCAACCACACCATACCACACCAAACATCGTCAACTACACAATACCACACCAATCATCGTCAACCACACAATCCCACACCAAACATCGCCAACCACATAATACCTCACCAATCATCGTCAACCACACCATACCACACCAAACATCGTCAACCACACCATACCACACCAAACATCGCCAACCACACCATGCCACACCAAACATCGTTAATTTCACCATACCTCACCAATCATCGTCAACCACACCATACCACACCAAACATCGTCAACTACACCATACCACACCAATCATCGTCAACCACACAATCCCACACCAAAAATCGTCAACCATAGAATCCCACACCAAACATCGTCAACAAAACCATCCCACACCAAACATCATCAACCCCACCATCCCACATCAAACATCGTCAACCCCACCATCCCACATCAAACATCGTCAACCCCACTATCTCACGCCAAACATCGTCAAACTCACCATCCCTAACATCGTCAACCACACCATCCCACATCAAACACCGTCAACCCAACAATCTCACGCCAAACATCGTCACAATCTCACGCACGATATCTTCGTTCACTGTCCTCTCTCATACAACGTATATTACTCCATACCTCACTTTCACCTACAGTACACACCAACATCGTCTGCTGGATAACCGAAGTGAAGCGGACGGTAAACCACTCAAACACACTGTCCAGCCCGGTTCACATAACCCTGACACACTCAAAGCTCGTTCATCCCTGCGTCCAACGCTCCACCTCACAAATCTGAACAAAAATCATCACAGACCACTTACTTTGTTTGTTTGCTTTTATTTTCTTATATGTGGGATTGTTTGTCTCTATTTCGTTTTCTTTTTGTGGTTTAACGTCGTTGCAACTGCTCAAGTAAAGACGAGAGCCGTGATAGACCCACTGAAAATAAAGAGAACTGCTAAAAAATCCCTTTGCCACTTTAAGTATTGACACCTACATATTCTGTAGGATCATGTACTATTCATGGGAACCTGAGTCATTATTTTTACAACACAGTCATCCAGACATAAAATATAAATGTATACCGTGCACCTATACCAAACGGAAGCGATTTCAACGAACTTCTTATAAAGTACTTCTCAAAACTTTGCTTTGTTCGTTGTTGTTACTGAATACAAAACCCACGTGTCATATTTATCTCTAACTGATAGCTTAAGACCTGCAAGACTAATGTGTACAACGTTACCGTGTTAACTTAGTATAACATGAACGCGAATAGGACCTTTTACTCCAAGCATTCTGGCTCATCCCTGCTCCACGGAGTGCCCGGGGCCTTGATGGTTGATGCAAAAATGCTCTTGATTTATAGATGAGGGCTATTACCTCCTTGATTAAGGGCTAAGACTATCAGGAACACGGTTATGTTAAAATTATACTTAATAGAACATCTTTCCTGCAGAGATTACCAGAGATTTGCATACTGCTTTGTTAATTAATATCGTTAGTGACTAAACTCCATAAAAATGTCACTTTCATTGCTGCTAGCAAGAAAAAAACAAAAACATTCCCTTTCATATTTCACGAGTTTGAGTCTAAATATGGTAAAATGTGTTTCTATCTGAGATTGTTTTAATGACTTCACCTAGCGTGAAGAATGCTTAAGACCGATCCCAACCAGTGATATGTTCACACCTAATTAAGAAATGAACTGCGTTATTTGAATCTAAAAAACAATAACGAAAGACCAGTGCTTAGTAATGTGCAATAGAAACGTTGAGATTAATTTCTGTTTTGTGAAATGAAGCTTTACGTCTGATGTTTAAGTGTAACATGGTAACGTGCATACCATTTTTATAAAGTGTAATGAAATATTGTTTGAACAAATGTATTTGTATTCAGGTTTGAAATGAGTCTTTTTAACATTTACGATGGGAAGCAGCACAGTCCGTATAACCATAGGCCTAAATGTTAAACAGATGCATACAGCAATCCCTATTTTTACGTTAAAAACAACAAAGACGATATAATTGTATCTTTCTTTGAAGTCTCGTTTTAAACAAACTGTTTACTAAATGGCAGAACCGCCAAAATCGTGTTTTCTATATAATCTATTTTATTCAACTGCATTTTCTTGCATACTGATAAACAAATGAGAAAAACTGTCTTTTTATATTTACAATTATTGTTATTGTGCCGATGCCACGTGGCGGAAACAAATGTATTTGCCAGGCGGTGACAACGGCGTAGCAAATCATTTTTCGGAGTGTATGCTTTATAGCGAGTCGAGCGTCCGAGGAGCGGAGCGCTGGAGGAGAGGGGTATTGGAGGGACCGTAGCTGGACTTTTTTTAGTGTATACAAGCAGGTATGCTACGCCACTGGGCGAACGACAGACAGACAGACAGACAGACATTCTTTATTTCCTCTAATAAGAGATTACATGGTCTTGTCGTTTTTAACAATTTCAACAATTTACAGCATGCACACTACATATTTACATAATACTACAGTTTCTTACTGTATTCTTCAAACTTTGCTCAAGAGCTAGAGCTGCTCTCGAGAAGTATGTTCATTTCTGTGAACATCCCAGCAAGTTTGTCACTTATAGCAACCATCAGATTGTCCCATTGTCCATCGTCCAAAGAAATATCGTTCCTTCCACCAAGAATAAATGAACATTTTTTGTCTTCCTCTAGCATATCGTATTGTACATATTTGTCAACGCTTATAAGATTAACTATTTGTTCCAGCAAGATGTCTCTACTTTTGAATAATGTGGGACATTGTATAATGAAATGTTTAACGTCATTGTTCACAACTTTTTTGCACAATTTACACATCACATTTTGGAATTCAGCCCTGTAGGAAAGCTTGATTAATTCACAAATTTTCCATGTGCTTTTAGGAAATTTCAACGTTAGAGACCATAAGGGATTGGGTCCAATATATTGATGAACTGCCCTATAATATAACAGATCGGGACGATTTCTGCACATTTTACACCATACATCATAGTAATAGTTTGTTGTGACTTTCTTAATAAACGATTTCCACTGAAACTCTCTACAGCACGCACCAGAGAACACAAACTCGAAAAAGAATGTCTCGATGTTAAATTTCACCATTGTATGGAAGATGTCTACGATGAAGCTTACGTTTTGAAACGATTGTGAGGTGAACATGAATGTACATAAGCGAATAATAAATAGAGATTTCCAGACAAAAGATAATTTAGCATTACACAGTTTGTTCCAAAGGTACAGTTTTCTGATTTCTACATCAGACCATAAATCATCAGGTAAGTCAATAGCTCTGGTAGTTATGGCCGACGACGAAGTTTTCTCAAAACCCTGGCATCTTCGTGCAGCATACCGCATGGTTCTATTTAACATATCAATGGACTTCTGCGTAGCATTTGCCCAAAGTTCACATCCGTATATAACACCTGGTATGATAATTGCTTTAATGAGTTGCGCACTTTTGAGAGGATTCAATCCGCCTGGATGGATACCAACACTCATTAGACTGTTAAGGTTCCTTCTACCTTTGTCGCACGCGCTTTCTATACCGACATCAGCTTTTAGATTTGAACAAAACGTAATTCCCGCGTAAACCTTTGTATCAGTCCATTCGATAATCGCGCCTCCCAGAGAACATACAGCTGATTGTTTATTGACGATTCGTCTCTTATATGAAAATTCCATCAGCGAAGATTTAGCAGAGTTATAATTTAGCCTCCAAAGATTAGCATACGCATTTACGATATCTAGTTGAGCTTGGAGATTCGTGATGCTTCCAGCTAATAAGAGCGTGTCATCAGCTAATAATACGCAGGGGATATGTAGCTTTTGAATCTGTAAACCCTGTTCCGCTTCATCCAGAGTACGTGCGAGACCGTTTATCATAACGAGGAATAGCCAGGCTGATAAAGTTCTCCCTTGACCGACCCCTTGCTTAACAGGATAGTCTTTGCTAATTTTGCCGTCATACAGTACACGCGAGGTCACGTTTTGAAACGAATTTTGCAGTATTCTCCAAAATTTACCATTAAAACCGAGTCTGTACACCTTATGTAATAGCCCGTCTATCCATACACTGTTAAATGCTTTTGCATTGTCCAAGAAGGCAGCAAATACCTTTGTCCTATTTTCAATATAATGACATATCGATTCCTTGACAGTGAACGCTGCCATAATACTTCCACATTCCGCTCTAAATCCCTGTTGTAGTCTATGCGGAAACTGCATTTCAGCACATCGAACTGTTAACCTCTGATATATAACTTTTTCGAATAGCTTTTGCAGAACTGGTGTTAACGTGATGTCTCTATAATTGTTTTTATTCAATTTGTCTTTATTGCCACCTTTGAATAATGTTATTACTATACCTTTTTTAAAATGTAATGGGTATTCCTCCTTTGTCAGTATTTGATTGAAGAGTATAACGATCGCGTCCAGCAGACTTTTACCGCCGTAACGAATATGTTCGATGACTATATCATCATGTCCTCCCGCTTTACCATTTTTCATACTCTTGATCGCTGTCGCAGTTTCACTTATTGAAATAGCTCGATCGCAAATACCATCACTATTTGCAAAGCTTCTGACGAACATATCGTGAATATCTAACTGTATCTTAGCCCGATGACTATCATCAAAATTGGTTTGCTCAGACGGTAGAGCTAACTTACTATAGTGCTCAAACCAAACATTCTTTAGTTCATCTGAATCGCGGATGATTTTATTGTCAACTTTAAGTTCTGAACATCTGTAACCATTACATTTTCTTGCCCGAACAGCCTTATAGAATGTGCCGATATCAACTTCAGCTGCTTCCTGCAGGTGGTCGAGTTGCTGCTGTTCGTATAGCTCCCTTGCTTCTGTTAATGCTTTGCGAAAGATGGTTTTTGAATCCTTATAATCTTTGTATGATTTATGTTCTGTACCGCGCGGACGTCCCTCAGCTTTCCACACTATACGATACTGCCTCATTGACGTATGCAGTTCTTTAACACTTCCGAAGTTCCAATATGGTTTTAAGTATTTACGATACTGCTTAACTGGCAATGTAGCTTTCGCTGAATCCTTTATCGCGGAAACAATAATCTGTACTAAGCTGTCGAGATCATCTAAATCCTTCGCCTCGCGGAGTTTAGTAGTATTACCGATCATCTGCGCTACTTTGCCGGCATAAGCAACCTTTTGCTCGGAAGACACTTTTCTCCAATTAACGGCCTTTGACGACAATCTATCTCTATGCGTGTTCCTTAAAGTACAACAGAATTCTAACGACACAGGTAGATGATCAGATGCATTAAGAAAATGATCGTCGTGTATTTCGCACGTTTTCACATTATCTATATCATGTGTTCCTATTAAAATGTGGTCAATCAATGAGCTCTTCGAGCCGTCCCACGATACATAAGTCACATCACCTCCTTTCGACCACTGTTGTGAATTGACAGAGATGAGATAGTTTTCAATAATAATAGTCTCAAGGAGTTTACCTCTGTCGTTTGCCTCGTAGCGAGGCCAGGCGGTGACAACGGCGTAGCAAATCATTTTTCGGAGTGTATGCTTTATAGCGAGTCGAGCGTCCGAGGAGCGGAGCGCTGGAGGAGAGGGGTATTGGAGGGACCGTAGCTGGACTTTTTTTAGTGTATACAAGCAGGTATGCTACGC